GAAAGAAAGAAAGAAAGAAAGAAAGAAAATGTTTGGTTTAATTTTCTATACTTTGTACTCAGGCAATGAATCCAAATAGAAGTAACCATGTTAAACAGTGTTGCAGCCAATGTAGCAACCAGTAAAGGAACAGCAGAGAAGCACAAAGACTTAATTATTGTTGTTGTTGTTGTTGTTGTTGTTGTTGTTGTTAATTTTGGGGTTTGGGGGTTTCTTTTATTTTCTTTTTCTTTTTTTTTTATCAATTTAGAGAGCACTGAAATTTGCATATTTAGCTCTGAGCTTAGCAATGGCTTCTGCCTCTGCCATAGCCATTGCACATGGACATGGGTCTGTGGCCAGACATCCTACAGCTCTGACCCAGGGTCTCAGCCCTTGCATCCTGCTGCTGGGCCACTTTCCCATGTCTCACTTCTAGAGAAGCGCTGATTTTATCTTATTAAACAAACTAGGCCTCTTCTTTTCCTCATGCTCAAAAAGACATCGGCCAGTGAATGGGCATGCTGATCTACAAACTCTCCCCCAGAAGATGCTGTAGTGTGATTTGGGGTTCCCCATCATCCACCTGCCCTCCTTCTTCCCCTCAATGGGGGAATTGAAGCCATATTTGACTCCTGCCTTATGTGGGCTCCAAAGCTTTGCCTGTTACAAATTAGAAGGCTGATAGGGAACTCATTATATTTTTTTCGTCCTTTGGTCAAATAACAAAATAACTCAAAGCCCTTCCTCTTTTCTGCCTGCCATGATGTTTATTCCCATAGTCATTCATGGCCACTGCCCCATTTTGAGCCCCTAATCCTCCTCCAGAAAGAAAAAACAGTGTTGAGATTTTTTTTTTTCTTGTGCTGGGAATTGAACCCAGGGCCTCATTCTTTCCAGGCAAGCAGTCTACCATTGAGCCACAGAGTCTAGATTTTTAATAACAGGCAAATTATATGTTACATATTTGTTAAATCATTCACACTTCTGATGAAGTTTTCTTCATAACTGAGTTTTCCAGAGAATTCCCTGATAGGAATGGGTCACTAGCACCACAGTTGCTTTTTATAATATTTTGGGTTTTTGTTTTAAAGGAAGAGAGAAAGAAAAAGAAAACACTGAGCCCAAGAGCTGGTGTTGGGCTAAAAATTCCTTTGGTAGAGGCTCCTATTTGTGCTGGTGGTTAATTTCTTTTTTCTCCTTCTGTCCGCAGCTGAGCACATGGACACCAAGCCATGGAGACACGCCATCCATGTACTGTGAGGCCAAGCTGGGGGCTCACACCTACCAGTCTGTTAAACAACAGCTGTTTAAGGCTTTTCAGAAAGCCGGTCTGGGCACCTGGGTGAGGAAACCTCCGGAGCAAGACCAGTTCCTACTAACTCTCTGAGTCACTCTCTGACTCTTTTGCTACTGGACTGGAGTGAGAAACCTGGAGAGGAGGCAGCCACGTGTGGAGCCCTGTGGTGTGTCCATCAGTTCTCAGCATTCATTTTCCCTCAGTGTTCCAGAAATCACACAAGTGTACAATGTGTGGAGGAGCTACTAGGTTTGAATTTGGGACCTGTTGCTTCTCCCCAGGCTGCTAGCCTCCACGGTCCTGTCCATCATACCTGGAGGTTAAAGTGCCCTTGCTTGGCTTCATCACTTCTTGGTGGTATCAAAGGGGAAAAACCTCTAGTTGGGTGTGAGGAGCTTAGATGCAGCCTTGAAAAGTGGTACTAAAGCGTGACTAGTTAGAAACAGCCTCCTACACCAACCCCTAAGCTTCCCTTCCCTTCTATGAGCCTGTATAATGATGTGTTTGGGTCTCATTAGCACACGTTGATGTGACACTTCAAGATAAGCCAAGAGTAAAGAGAAAAGCCATGGGCACCCCCAGCCCAAAGAAACCAATAGGAATGCTCAATTATTTTCATTATTCATTTAGATCTCTCCACTTCTTTCCCAAAAGGATTTGAGTTGCACAATATCAGAGAACAACTAAAATAAGACCAGAGAAATGAAAACCATTCTTGCCATGCAGAGGAATAGTAACCCTAGGCACCAGTGCTCTGCCACTGCGATGCAAGAAATCCATTTCCACAGTCTTACTGAGTGCTGCAAACCAAGCTATGCCTGCTCTGTCAATCACAGCTCTTGGTATCTTTTGGCAGGTAACAATAGGCATTGAAGTTTGAGTTGTATCATTGTCGGCCACCACCCTATAATTTCCCTACCAGGTAACAAGGAAACTGAGTCTTGGATCAAATCCGAAACAAAGTCCAAAAAAAGAAAAAAGTCAAAATAATCTTTAAGCTTGAAAAGCTACAACCTCTCTATTCTTTCAGGTCCTCCAATCACCTTCTTGCATAACAAAAAATATCAACTTATGACAGCTGCCAAAATGCAAGAAGCCAAGTTCTATCACATTTAGGACAGGCATCCAGGTTCATGACTATACACAGGACCATTTAGCATCATTTGCTACGAGGAGAGGTGCTGCGTCCATGCGAGAGCGAGGCCCTTCTCGAACATGTCAGTAGTCAACCCACGTTCCTTGAGTTATTATTATCTTACCATGGAGAACTCATTTCTAATATTCATCATGCTAGTTAACAAGTTTCTAATTTCTCCAGTTAAAACATTCCTATCTGAAATGCATTGTGCTAAGTAACAAAGCATAGAAGTAGCTACCTCTGGAGTATGAGCTTCCTAGTTAGAATTCCAGCCGACCACTCCCTAAGAGTGCAAGCATTACATCACACTGTATATACTCTAGCACATAGTACAAATATCATAGCAATGAGGCAAAAATGAAACAAACTGAGTTGTAGCTATTTGATACAAGAAAATAAGAAGTAGAGATATTAGTATGAAAATAGAAACTCTTCGTGGGATTTAATATGAGACCAAATTTATGGCTCAAGTCCTTTTAGAAAAGAAAATGGAGTCGGCAGTAGACAACTACTTCAAGATAAAGTTTTGAAAGTTATGAACATGATTTTGCAAATAGATAATTCGTGTTAATCTTTCACAAAAAAAATTAGAAAATAAAATGAAATCTTTATTCAGTGTACAGGCTGAGATCAAAGGACCAGTTTAAAATTTCTGATCACCTGACGCATCACTAGGATGATACCTAGAGAACCAAAAAGCCCTAAGGGCTGGTTTATGACTTAGACACTGTCTCTCAACCATCTGACATCTGGAGCCTTTTTCCAAAAGTGGAGACCCCTTTAGTTCCTGGTTGAAATCTGTGAGCCGAACCTCAAATTCCTCATATTCTGAGTTGTTGTTTGAAGAAAGCATACACACATTATATCAACATGCTCCAGACAGTGTTCTTGTACAAGAAGGAGATTAGCATTAACAGCAGGGTCTTCTCCATGACAGGAAAGAGGCAGCATAGGGCATCCTACAAATGGGCTCATGGTGCCACCTGTATGATCTGAAGCAAAGAATGTGGGAACTCCTGAACTGTAGCTATGTAGCCATGATTCATTTTGACCAGGGCACTGCTCTCCAGAAATTACCCAAACTTTACTAAAACGCAAGCATCTACTGAGGAAAGCTGGCCAGTGACTCCATTCTCCTCATCTTAGCATTAGCATAGCCACTTATTAAGTCAACAGGAGACTCCTTGGAAGGAAAGATGGAGGCTCTGCCAAAGTTTATAGCAAGAGAAGAATTTTTTAATAACTTTATTTTATTTGTTCTTTTTTTTTTAAATGTGCTGAGGATCAAACCCAGTGTCTCACCAGTGCTAGGCAAGCGCTCTACCACTGAGTCACAACCCCAGCCCAAGTTGAATTTTTAATGCACAGAAAGTAAGCTTAGGAATCAGTGTTTTTTGTAAGGAGTTATCTGTGAATGTGAAATGGGGAGGGAAATCTGGGACAAAGGAAGAAAGAATCCCAGGCCCCATAAGGAGAAAGGAGAAAGAAACTGTTGAGACCAGCAAGGTGAGCAACAGGTAGGGAAGCCAGGACTTAGGAAAAGATGATCTTCAAGGAATGGGAAGAACAGAGGGGAGTTAAGGAGGGAAAGTGGAGAATTGAATCCTTCACGCTCTGAAGCAATCCAAGTTAGGACCGCATACAACGACCAGATTATGTCACATGTATGCTGCTCCTGACCCACAGAAGCCTGACCTATCTGAGCGGTGGCCAGTCACAGGATCCTGACACAGCATCCAGTGTACCTGGAAGGGGTGGGTCATGTCAGCTCTGAGACCAAAGAGCCAGTGCTAGACACCTAGGGATTTCACTCCTCTGGTGTTTGGAACACCCCATCGCAAATTTTAAGCTAGGGTCAGGCTGCATGGCGACTGCTGAGTGGAGTAGCTCACAGGGTTCTGTAAGGAGAATCAAGCACAAATAGGGGAGGAGTAACTTGGTCACCCTGAGGGGAAAATATATATATAAAACCAAGCAAAACAAAAAGGATAAAGGACAGAGACCCCCAGGCTTCTGTCACTTTGACCCTCTGTCCATCTGATTTGCCTCAAAACTATCATCCCCTTATTTTTTTGTGTGCCTCATGCCACAGAAAAGCTCAAAATCCTTGGTTCTAAAGTTTTCTGTCTGCTGTATTCATACCCATTTAGCACCACTACTAAAGTCCAAATAAAATCAGCATCATCTGTACCTGCCTCAAGACACACGCAAAGCATGCTTTCCTACTGGGGAGAGAAGCATCTAAGGTTTCCTGCCTGGTTCTGAGTCAAAAAGTCAGTGTCTGATCATTTGCAAGCTTTTCACAGGCCTGAGCTCTGGGAAAGGCCGAGTGGCTGTGCACACTCTTCTTGTCCACAAGGTTCACAACAATGTATAATATCAAGTTATTGAATTTAGGATTTCCTTGGTTTTGGTTTTTGTCAACAAAAGGATTTGCAAGCCTATAACTATTGTTTCCTTTTTATTTCTGTGATTCTCTTTAAACCTGTATATATCTTCCATTCCACTACTGATTTTTGTGATGTCCTCAGAAACATCAAGCTAAGTTACTTTTCCAACAAACTCTTAGCTCATATTTTTCCACATGATTTCCTTTTCACAGGGAACTATTCTTATCAATAAAGTTGAATGCTTGTTTTTTCTTTTTTTTTTTTTTTTGGTTTAGCATTTACCATATCTGGAGAGCCATAAATAGTAAATACATAGTATATCAATGCCCAGAGTAGAATAGTTAGAGTATTTTGATGAGATCCTATTTTTAGATTATAAATTTCAAGATGAACCTATAGTATCTTGTTTTAAAAAAAAAGACAATTTAAACTTAAATATAGTAAACATTTTTAATTTAGGGAAGCTTATATACTCGTTTTTTAAGAAGCCATTCTAATAAAGTAACATAATTGGCCCAAAGTACAATAAATACCACTTTCTAACAGCAACCAAAGGGAAGGTAGAAAAAGTCTTTCTTTTTATATACTACCATTTGACAACTCTTACCACTTCTTTTGGCAGAAGTCTCACGTGGCACTCAGCAAAATCTGACATACCTTTTTGCTGGTTTCTCTATTGTCCTTCTCTAATAGAGTCTGCAGAATCCAGACTCTAGTCCAGGACTGGGAAACTTACTCTCCTGCACATTTTGAGTTTTGCAGAGGTTACGCAGGAAATGATATAGCACCCTGGGGCAGTTTTATCTGGGACAAATCCACCCCTCTGAGGTCTTGCTGGTATTTGACGCCTGAGGGGCGGGACAGGAGGGCGTGGCGTGGAACGGAGGGAGCAGCCTTGGTGTGGGGGGACTTGCGCTGTCCGGGTCCTGACGCATCACAGCCCCACTGCGGGACAGTCGGGACAGGGGACAGTCGTTTCTGGGAGCGCTGGGAGGTCAGTGACTCTTGTCGAACTTCTCTCACCAACTTTGAACCAGATAAGATAAAATATGGTGAGGTAAGCAGAAACAAAGAGATGATAGATAAAGGCCACCTGAAGGGACACAGAGAACCAAGGAAGCTTTGTTGCGACAAAGTTTCTCCCACTCCTCAATTCTGGGAAAACAGAGAACAAGGTGACCTTCGCTGCAGCTCTGCCTATTCTCTCCCGCTCCTTCTTTTCCCCTTCTTACCGTCTTCCCTACTCATAAATTTCTGCTTCCTTTGTTCTGGTTCCCTGGGGTCCCCAAATCCCAGGCACATCTGCCCCGGAGCTGATGCATGCAAGCAGGTTGATGCTCAGGTGAGGATGCTCTCGTAACACCTTGACTACAGGGGTTTGCCACCATCTTTTTAGACTCCTGGGAACATGTCCATTCAATCTGTCCTCCCACCAAAAGGGACTGGGATGGCCACAACTCTAGAAATTTAGACCAAACAAAATCATCCTGCAGGGAAAGGTACACTGTACCAAACCCTGGTGAAAGAAAAAACGTATTTCCCAGCTCATCATTTCAAACTCAGATTTGGAGAGATGAAGTAAACTTTCAAAATGAATATAAAATTACCTGGATTCTAGTGCCTCTTTTCACACAGACACTAGATTTCTATCACTCTGCAGTATATGCATCAATTTAAGAAACCTTTCCCGGCAGTGCCCAATTAATTTTCAGCATTTTTTTAAGCAAAATGAACTTAAGAGTCATTCTTAATTGAAGGTTGTACATACAAAGCATGATTGAATGGCAATATTGTACCAATGGATGTACATTTGTAAGATTTGTAAAAAATCCAAAACCTTAAAATATGAATTTACATATGTTAATTTGCCTCTAAGTTCTGTAAATTGCATTTCAGTGATATCTGATAAGTGAATGTTTCTGTTAAGTGAATAAAAATATCAAGTAAAATTGTTCTTTCCTGGGTTGTTGGGCCTTTTTCATTAAGCAGAGTTCCAGGAGTATCTGAAACCCCAGATTGTATAGATTTAGCTAGAATGCAATAAATGTTGGCCCACTCTAAAGAAAGGCAAATTTTCTCTTAGGACTTTTTCTTTTTATAACAGCAGACTATGCAGGAATGACAATTACCAGCTCAGATATTACCCTTATGGATTTAATGTAAAATAACTAAATTATCACAGAATTCAGAATGAAAAGATATATCTTTAAGCCTTGAATCAGCATCTCATTAATGGTGTAAAATGAATCGTTTCACACACAACTTTACACCTCAGTTTTCTCCATGTCAAGTGTGGAAAATAAGACTTACCCTACTACTTTACAAGATTGCCAAGGAGAATTGATGCAAATCAACATATTAAAATGTTTTGAAAAGTTAACACACTATGAATATTTAATATGTCCTGATTCTCCACCCAAATTTACCATAACATATGAAGTATAGGTGTTACAGATGATTTCCCTGTAAATACTAAGCCAGATGGATAAGAGAAAAAAAAAACTCAAACATCACTTGAGGATGTTGATCTCTATGCTGTATGCACTAAACATTCCATAATTCAGTTGAGCATTTGCCCAATAACGCATCTTGCTCCTTTCCAGTGACATAAGTTTGGACACAAGCATATCTACAATGGTAGAGGGTTTGCTGGCTGAAGGAACTTTGATTCTCTTATGTCAATCTAGAAATGTGCAAAATTACAAAGATTTATACACAGATCTTGTGCACTATAGTATGAGTGATCACAGTTAAGCCTTCTTGTTTGAAAATATTTCTCTCATCTATCAAAGTGTCTGAAATTCTACCGCACTTTCCCTTCATTCCAGAATGAGGATTTCCTCCATTTTTTAAGTCTGTGGTTATTTCCCATCAATCACAATGATGTTCAGCTCAAGTAAGAACACACGAGGTCTCAGGCAGACGGTAGAGATAAGGGTGTGGGGATCTGACACATTCCCCTTCATCCTCAGAAGAGGGAAGTTGCTCTTTGTTGATTATTAATGTTCTAAAGAGCTTCTTGGTTTCTAAGTCTGAGAGTAAGTTACTCCTAATAGAGGGGATAACTAGGGATCAGGGCTTTAGTAGGAAATAAAGGAGAAATGAAGCTTCTCCAAGGCGAATATCAAGGCATCTGAGTTGTGATCTGCTTCAGAAGTCATCTGGTCTGAATTATCAAGCTTTGAGAATCTGAGTATCTGGTGGCAAGTATTATTTATTAACCAAAGGAGAGAAAAGTCTCCAAACTAATCTTTTATGGTCTCCCAGAATTGACTCTCAGGGTTGGTACCCAATGCCTGCTGTCACTCACAGAGGACCCCCACCTAAGGGAAAAGCATCCACCATTCTTGGAAATGAGTGGTCTGATGCCTGGTAACCTCTTTCAAATTAATGGTTCTACATATATACCCAAGTCACCGGGCAAGCCGGCAGGTCCCTACCTACCAAGCCTGGAGGACAGCCTCATTTCTTGGGGCATTTTTCTTTCTTGTTGAGAATTTTTTTTAAAGCATGAAATATGAAGTTTATGATATATTGTCTTAGTAAAAGCTTTCATGGAAGTGCGTGTTCCCAAGGAAAGTAACTGGAGTCAACTCTGATTCTTAAAATTTGATAGGTGTGCATGAAGGTTGAAGGACAAAGTGGCCGCAGCCGTGGTTTTAAAGCCTTATGATTGATCACACCCCTGTCCACTGTGGAGCTATTAAATCAAGTTCCCTTAGTCAGGTTTCACTTGATGACAGAAATACACTCTTCTGAGTATTTCCAAAAGCCACTGCTCTTAAAGGGCCAGATCCCCAAAGAGTCTTTTTAATGACAAAGACAAAGCCAGAACAAGACCAAGGATAATAATGATGGCTACAAATGCTGACTTACCCCCAAAGTAGCCTCATTCAATCCCCTGTAATTCAGAATTGTAAATTACTTGACTGACCCTAAAATTGAGTTCACTAAGAACTTCAGTAGTCAAAGTCCCCCTAATCGCTCAAACTCAGGTTTGCTAAAAGGGAATTTTCACTAATGTCCTGCACTCAGCTTTGGGAAAACAAGCAAAAAAACCCTCAAAAAAAAAAGAATTGGCCCCGGGAAGAAAGGGGCCCAAGAAAAAGCAACAAAAAGGGATGCCTTTCAAAAGCAGAAGGTTGCACTTCCAGTCCTGGCTCTATAGTTCAGTAAGGTCTGTGACCTGGGGTAGGTAACAGTACTCTTTCAGGAACTTTGAATATAACATGGAGTAATCAGAGTGATAGTAAAGATTATATTTCTGTTACACTGAAAGATGTCGTACACATATCAGCTGCTTTCCCTCAGATATTGAGCATAGTTGGCGGATGTCTCAGGTGAGTGAGTTGCTTCCAAGGACGTCTCCATTCAAAGACACTGCAATTGTAATGATGAGAGCAATACAGCTTCCCAACGTTAGAAAGTATTGGGGCATGGAAGAAGGACGTGGATCCACGGAAGGTGATAGGTAGTTCCCAAGAACGAGGTAATGCAATTTTTGTAGGAAAAAAAAATGATCAATCATGTAAAAATATTTTTTAAAGAAGAAGAATATGAAGACTTTGAAAAGATCATTAACAACAATGAGTATGTTTGTGAACATTAAAGGGGAAATGTCATTAGAAGATTAGAAGCAGTCTTCTGACACAGGGAGGTAAGGGGAAACTATTAGCAGGCAATGGAGATGGTGAGCATAGATGGTTGGCTAGGAGACTTAACTAGAAAAGATGAGCTAGAGGCCTTACCTGAGGAGGAAGACTGTCACATGAAGGGCTCCTGGTGCTCAGTGGAAGGCGGGGTGCTCAAGGTATTCTACAGGGACAACCAGCACCCTCAGGTGCAGCACAGAGGGAAAGTCCAGAGCTGACCTCAGCACGACCATTGCTTTCTGCTGCCACCCTGGAATCACCTCGCCCTGGGCACAGTGCACATTATAATGTGAGCCTTCTGAGAGTTTCTGCCAGAAAGCAAACTCCACTAGGGCAGCAATTGGGGACTGCCAGTTTTGTCTTATTCGTTTATTTGTCTGTTTACTGATGTGTCCATAGTACCTAGCATTTAGTTGGTGTTCAGTAAGTAGTTGGATAAGCATTTCTACTGATGGGAGGGGAACAATGTAGGGTATGAAATCAGGACTTGAGAAAGAGAAGGGGAATCTTCTTCAGGCACCCAGCACAAATGCAAACTCATGTAACTCTAATTGTCTTTTAAATCCAGATAATATGACAGGGGGAAGAGTCCACTGACCCCATTTGTAAACAAACACATTCCAACCTGAAGAGGGTTGTTCTTGAACCTGCCCTGCACATTTCATGTGTTCACTCTCCCCAGCATCTCTATCTCTCTCTCTCTCTCTCTCTCTCTCTCTCTCTCTCTCTCTCTCTCTCTCTCTCTCACACACACACACACACACACACACACACAATCTAATTGCATCTTAAAATTGCATAAACAAATCAAGTCCCTGCTCTGGAAAGTCCTCTCCTTTAAAAAGTACCTGCTCACACCTGTCTCTGCGCATTCCATTCCACAAACACAAATATAGAAGCCTGTTGAACAACATCACTTTTCTCTTAGGCCTCTTAAATTATACTACGTGGATGAATGTCCCTTGTAATCAGAGCCCTGAAACTGGCTAATGTGGCCACCTCATGCCCCAGCAGTCAACTGACAACCTCCTTGGAAGTGAGCATGTCCCCAGAGCCTGCCCATTAGGTCTCAGGTTTCTTGGATCATGACCATCAGTTCCCATTTGTGGTGCACATGGGCTCCATGACATGTGATTAGTGACAGGCCTCCAGAAACCTTGGTAAGGCTCAATCAGAGGTCCCAGACCACGAGGGTCTCCAGGTACCCAGCAGGAATCAACAGAGGGTCAGGTCTCAGTCCTTTCAAAGACCTGCAGGACAAACCAGGAGCCTCTAATCAGTTGGGACATTGTCAAAAATGGGGCCATGGGTTTAATGATTGTAGAATAATTGACTACTTTATGACTAATGGCAGTTTGAGGTTGGGAATATGATTTCTCTGCTCTCCACATAGTTCATGACACAACAGGCTTCATTATTTTCAATTTTGGTCACCTGAAGTGACAGAATTAAAAATAAATTTGAAGGTACTCTGCAATATCAAGGACCGATGGTTGGCAGGAAAGAGGGCATCCAGCCACCCAGGAAAGTTCAAACGTACAGAAGCAAAGAACACTTTGTCAGGTGACTGCCTGCCCTGGGTGGCTCCTTCAGCATGAGGCTTTGGTCACCATTACATTTCAAAAGCTGGATGCTCTGTCCCCTTTCCTGGAGGTATTAGACATGAAAAAAAAATATGCATTGTCTTTTAGAATATAAAGTATGTCATCCCCAAGGAGCAAACCCCAAGAGTTCCCCACACCTTGTGCTTCATGCCCTAGCAATGCCCACTTGCTAATAGGGTTGAACATTCCCGTGACCTGGCTCCCGTGACCTGGCTCATGCTGTTCCTATGCATTGTATTAATCAGGGGTGTCTAGAGAGATAGACCCAGCAGGATGGGTAGATATTATATAAAAGGAGAGAGATTTACTTAAAGAAACGATCTCACACAATGATGGAGACTTGCTCCATTCAAACTACAGGACAAGGCAGCCGGCTGGAGACCCAGAGAAGAGGTGCAGTTTGAGTCCAATGGTTGTATGCAACAGAAGTCACTTTTCTTTGGGTACTTTGGTCCTTTCAGGCCTTAAACTGACTGAATGACGCCCACTCACTTCATGGAGGGCAATCTGCTTTACTTAAAGTCTATCATTTAAAATGTCAGCCTCAACCAAAAGCACTTTAAATGAATAATGTGTAACCAAATGTCTGGGCAGTAAGATTCGCACATAAAATTAACTATCACATGTATGAAATACCCTTCCTTCCCTACTGAACCTTCATGCTCACTGGAAAGTATGATGCACTCTAGTTGCTATCAAGAATGGCC